GGGGTAAAAAATCCGCAATTAGGGGGTACAAAATACTGAAAAAGGCTCAGTTTTGTACTCCCAAACTGTGAGTTTTGTACCCCTAAATCATTTTGTACCCCTTTGTACCCCCGAATTGTTGTACCCTCCAAACGTTTTGCCTGAAAAAAAGGTGAAGCGTTCTCTATAAGTATACAGGTATTGTAATCACTTCCCTATTTTTTCAAGGTGATTTGAAACCAAAGGCTTAGAATTAAGGCTGTGTGTGGGTTTTTTTAATATCTGAATTTCAGAAACCCTAACAATCTGTAATCAGAAAATCCAGGAACATTCTAGAAAAAACAAGAGATTCTACATGTGGGCATCTATTCGAGAAAGTACGGTATTCGAAAATTCCGATATCAGGAAAATATAACTTTCGAAAATGAAAAAAATCGGAAATTGGTTTGAGCCCCGGCAGGGGGCTCAAACCAACTGGTTGTTATATAAGAATGAAAATAATAAAAAAACAAAGAAATCAAAATGGGCTACTGGCCAGATGACGTTGAGTCGATGGTTCATCGAATTCAAGATGATCGTCAAGACTTGTGGAATGACAAAAAAGCAGATTTGATCGCAGAGGAGTTGAAGAAAATGTGGGAGGTAAGTAGTGGGTTTTCTAGGCCATTTTTTTTTCAAAAAAAGTTTCCAGCGATTCCCTGTACATTATGGTTTATGACGAGTGCGGTGGATACGACAACCACTCGTTCTATGCATCCGTAGACCAGACATTCTACTCGTTTCGACGTGGAGGGTGCAATGTAGTCGTCTACCGTAGTACCGAGTGGAATTCTGGAGGAAAGGATCATCTAGAAATTATCAAACTGCAAGTGGAATCTTGTAGAATTGGAGCGATTCCGGAGTGAGTTTTTTGGGGGACTAGTTTTCGCATTGTGAAGTTTCTTAGCCAGATTGTTCACCTTGTTTTCAGGCTATACACATATGATGGCATCCCAAAATGGCTCATGGAGTATCGAATTCAGAATTCAGGATTCATTGGAATGGTTGGGACGTGGCGAAATGCAATCGTTCGATCTGTAAACAGTAACACCGTATGGGGACCTGGTTGGTGGATAACTGCCACGTGTTATGATTGGGACACACTGGAAAACACTGATACTAAATTCACATTAATTGATGGATGGCAATAAAATTTTATTTTTCGATTTTCCATGTTTTCGTACTGTATTTCCTTAGACCACCCAAACCGTCCACTTCGAGCCCTTATATCTCGGTCACTGTTAAAGATACAGAAAAGTTGTCAATTGATAAAATATTTACCACATTATCATCAACATTTTATTAGTTCACAAAATTATTATATCTTTTCATAGGAGCCGGGGGTATCAGCCTACAGAATTTTTCGGTACTTGCACTATGAGCCCATAAATCTCGATTCCTGTGAAAGATACCAAAATTTTGTCAACTGATAAAATGTTCCTCATATTATTCCCTATATTTTATCAGTTGAAAACATTTTGATATCTCTTATAGAAACCGAGGTAATTGAGGCCAAAGTTGGGTGATCTTCTACTAAAAGAAATACGGATTTTCCTATTTTTTTTTCTGGAATTGTTATTGTTTCTATGCATTTCGATTTCGAATGATCAATGAACATTATTTTTATGCATTTTCCCGAATGTTTTGAATTACGAAACTGTTAAGATACGCTTTGAATCAGCAAAAAACCCGATGAGTCATTAGGCGCGCGTGCGGTCAGTCGCGAGAGACTATCATTTTTGTTTGCATTGCATCCATCTCAGCAATTTTTCGTTAAAAATTGACTTGTTTTAACGTAAAAAACCAAAATTTCGGCCAATTTTCAGCCTTTATTTTTTCAGTAAGTTCAAATATAAGCGCGCCCCATGGCCACGCGCGAGAGAGTGAGAGTGCGCAGAGAAAAAGAGCGGCAACTTAATTTTCAATGACCCATTTTAGTGGATTTCAAGCGATTTTCAACGATTTTTTACGGTTTTTTGCTAGATTTTTTGTGTTTTCTGGCGAAAAAATGTTGAAAATATTAATTTGGTTCTTAGAAACGATAGTTGACAGCGAAAAAAATCGATATTGTTTCAGAATGGCCGAATTCTCACTCCAAGCCGTTTTTCCGTCGCTTCCACGGACTCAACGGGGTTCTGCGGTTGTTTTGGGTAAGTATTGGTTAAGAAAATCGATTTTAACCACTAGTTTTTACCTAAATTGAAAGATTTTCCAGGTAAAAAGGCTTCTGGAATTTTGAAAATTGCGAAATTTTTCCTTAATTCTTGGGTCTTTTAGGAACCACTCCAACCGGCGACAAAATCCAATACTGCAATGGAAACTCGGTCTACACGGTCCCTCTGGACGCCCGCAACACCGCTGACGTCTACACCGAGCACGCGCATCAGACGACGTGCGCGAAGACGTCGCCAACCGGATTCTACTGCGCTTCCGGTGACATTCAAGGAAACGTGCGCATCTGGGATACAACCCAGTCGACCCATATTCTGAAGCACACGATTCCAGTGTTCTCGGGTCCAGTGAGGGATATCGCGTGGGATTCAGAATCCAAGCGAATCGCCGCCGTCGGAGAGGGAAAGGAGCGCTTCGGACACGTCTTCTTGTTGGATACGACCACTTCGAATGGATCGTTGACGGGGCAGAGTCGTACGATGAATAGTGTCGATTTCAAGCCAACTCGGCCATTCAGAATTGTTTCTGGATCTGATGACAACTCGGTTGCCATCTTTGAAGGACCTCCGTTCAAGTTTAAGAGTGTAAGAGATGCCTAAAAATCATGAAAAAAACATCAAAATGTGTCGAAGAATAGATTTTTTCAAAAATTGAAGAAAAATTGGCTCAAAATCACCCATTTTCAGCTCACAAGAAGGCTCATTTTGAAGCTAAACTTTCTATTTTTTTGGAAAAATTTTTTATTTTTCCGTAATTTTTGAAACGTTTACTATTAGTTCATTTTCTGCTCACAACGGCGCTTTTCAAAGATCATTTTCATTCATAAAAATTAATTTTTTTCAAAAAAAAAAAACTAAATTTCCAAATTGCAAAAAATGGCTCCAACTTCCAAAAAACCCTCAAACTTCGATTGCTACAGACATGGTTTGACGTGGTGGCCTAACTTTTGCAAGTCGAGTTTTCTAGGACACCACGTCAAAATGACCTAGAAAACGCCAGATTAATATCAGGTCATTTCTAGGCGAATTTAACGCTGTGGCCTAGAAACCCCAACTTGCACAAGTTAGGCATGGAAAAATGAACTAGAGAACACACCAGAGTCATGCTGAATCATTTCTAATCCATTTCAACGTGGTGGCCTAGAAAACACACCAGGATAAAATTTTTCCACCTTTCAAAATCCCTAAATTATCAACAACAAAAAATCGATTCCAGACCTTCCACGAGCACTCGAAGTTTGTCCAATCGGTCCGCTACAACTCCGATGGCTCCCTGTTCGCCTCCACTGGCAGCGATGGCAAAGTGATTCTTTATAACGGCACGAGCGGTGATAAAGCCGGTGTTCTGGAAGATTCCAAGGGCGTGGCTCACTCCGGAACAATCTTCGGTCTCTCCTGGTCCCCTGATGGCTCCAGAATCGCCACGGCGTCGGCTGATAAGAGTGTCAAAATCTGGGATGTTGCTTCTCGGTCCCTGGAGAAGACCATTGTTATTGGAGCGAAGATTGAGGATCAACAGCTTGGAATAATTTGGACGAAGATGGCGTTGATTTCAGTGTCCGCTAGTGGATTCTTGAATTTTTTGAATGCCGATGAGGGGAAAATTGATGACGTCAGACAGGGACACAACAAGGGAATCACGGCGGTGACGATGAGTGCCGATGGAAAACGAATCTTCAGTTCTGATGCTGAGGGACACTTGAGTGAGTTTTATTCTTCAGAATTTTCCCAGAATTCACAAAATGAATATTTCAGCATCATGGGACATCTCAACTGGCGAATCCACCCGCACGTCTCCCCACACCACGATGATCACCGGTGTCAAGCAAGCTCCAAACGGCGACGTCTACACCATTGGCTGGGATGACAATCTCAAAATTACCGATGCTTCTGGAGGCTCCCCAAGAATCTTCTCGCTCCCATCGCAACCCGTTTCTCTGGCGATCGCTGACGACGTCGCTCTCATCGCTTGCTACAAACACGTGGCAGTTTACACCGGCGGAAAGATCGTCGAGAATCCGATTGACTTCCACGCCTCATGTGTGGCTGTTTTCAAGGATACGGTAGCTGTTGGAGGAAAGGACGCAAAGGTGCACGTGTACAAATTGAAAAGCGATGGAGGGTTGGAGCTAGTGAAGGTTCTGGAGCATGGAGCCGAGATTACATCGGTCGCGTTCTCGGATAACGGGGAGTACTTGGTGGCGACGGATTTGGCGCGGAAGGTAAGAGTTTTCTCTCAAAATTTTTATGTTTTTAGGCCATTTCAACATGGTGGCCTAACTTTCGCAAGCTGGGTTTTCTAGGCCACAACGTTCAAAATTGCTTAGAAGTCCCCTGATATTCATCTGATGTGTTTTCTAGGCTATTTTAATGTGATGGCGTAAAAAACCCAATTTGCAAAAGTTAGGCCATCACTTATAAATCTGGTCTACATCACTAATGGCCTAGAAAACGCCAGGAAAATATCAAGCGATTTCTAGGTTTGAGCAATTTTAACTTGGTGACCTAGAAAACTCAACTTGCAAAAGTTTGGCCACCACGTTGAATAGCCTATAAAACAAGAATATCAGGACATTTCCGAGCAATTTAGCATGATAGCCTAACTTTTTGCAAGTTGAGGTTTCTAGGCCACGCTGGGCCTAGAAATAGTCCTATATTCATCTAGTCTGTTTTCTCTGCAATTTTAACATGGTGGCCTAGAAAGCTCAACTTGAAAAGGTTAGGTCACCATGTTATAATGGCCTAGAAAAGCCCAATGAGGTCACCTTTTCTTAATTTCCTAAATTTCGAGGTCATCCCCTACACTGTGGCTTCCGATTTCACGTTGACTCATACCAACTCGTGGACCTTCCACACTGCAAAAGTCTCCAGTGTCGCCTGGTCCCCGGACAACACTCGTCTCGCCACTGGATCCCTGGATAACAGTGTCATTGTGTGGGATTTGACCAAGACTGGAGAGCATCCGGTTATCATTAAAGGTACGTTTAGGACATCTCGATTGGTGGCCCTGGCCTAGAAAGCTCAAATGGCAAAAGGTAGGCCACCACGTTAAAATGTCCTAGAAATGGTCTGATATTCATCTGGAGCGTTTTTAAGGTCTTTTTGACATGGTGGCCTAACTTTTGCAAGTTGAGTTTTCTAGGTCACAAACTTTTCCGGGCTCAGAAATTTTCTAAAAATCGCCAAGTGCGTTTTCTATGTCATTGGTGGCCTAGAAAAATCCCTGGTGGCCTAGAAAAATCATGTTGAGAAAGTTAGGTCACGACGTTGCCTAAAAATACACAAAATTGCCTAAAAATACACAAGGTCGTTTCTAAGCCATTCAAACGTGGTGGCCTAACTTTTGCAAATTGAATTTTCTAGGCCACCACTTTTTTTTTGGAATATGGTCGAATGTGTTTTCTAGGTTATTTTAGCATGGTGGCCTAGAAAACACCAAATGAATTTTGTGCGATTTCTAGGGCATTTACCCTGGTGGCCTAGAAATCGCAAAAGTTAGGCCACCATGTAAAACATCATATTTTTCAGGCGCCCACCCGATGTCGTCTGTCAACGCTGTGCTCTGGCTCGACGAGAAGACCGTCGTCTCGGCTGGCCAGGACTCGAACATCAAAATCTGGGATGTTCCAGTTTGAGAACTTCAAACGAACGTACCATATTTTCTTGTGTAATTGTACTCATAATTTTATTCAGCTTTTAATTTATTTCTTTTTTTCTCTCGCTTGCTCGATTTCTTCTGCTTTTTTCACTTGTTTTATATGGAATGAATGTGATTTTTCTTAAAAGAAAATTATTTATTTGAAAAATTAAAAAATTAGATAATTGCCCTAATTAGAGTCCGCGTCCCTTGAGATCTCCTCTGGAGCGATATGCACTCGAGACGACATCTTCTTTTGGCATCGACAGCAGTAGAAAAATTCTGAAAAATTGAGAATTCATTTTTTTTTCAAAACTAAAAATTTAATTGCCTGTCAACGCATTACGGTAGTTTTGTACAAAAAATAGGATGGGAAGAGGGTCGACAACTGGATAGATAGCATAGACAAATGTCAGAATTGTGGCTAACGATTTGCAATGGATTTCGAAAATCGGGCAAATGAATAGGACACCGAATGGGGCGAAGAGGAGGAAGACGGGGATTACTGTCTGGAAAAATATTTGAGTTTTTAAATGAGCAATGGGAGCGGAATGGTGCTCAATAGATGTCAATAGAGCGCGCTTGCGTTGGTGGAATTTGGAAAAGTTGATTTGAATTTTTTATAAATTTTTAAATTCTTCATTTTCCCAATCCCGAAATCAGTTTTTTTTAAAAAACAAAATTTAGATTTTCAACTTTTCCAGTAATATCGAAATTCTTAAAATTTTCGAATTTTCAAAAATTCCGAAATTCCAAAATTTGAATTTTCTAGAATTTGGAATTGTTTCGAAATTTCGAATTTACAATAATTTTGAGTTTTATTTCGAAAAATTTCCAATTTGTCAAGAATTTCGAGAGTTTTTCGAATTCAGAAATTAGAAACATGAATTTTCAAGATTTTCTAATTTTTCCAGAATTCTAATAGTAAGATTCAGAACGTCGGAAATTCAGAAGCTCAAAAATTCAGAAATTCAGAACTTCTGAAATTCTGAAAAATTCAAAACTTTCGATTTTTCAAAAAATTTCGAACTTTTCTAAAATTTTTTCGGAAATTCAGAAATTTTTTTTTTTTTCGGAAATTTTTTTCGGAAATTCAGAAATTTAGAAATTCAAAAAAATTTTTTTGTTGAAACTTTCGACTTCAAAGAGCGGGAAATTTTGAAGCGAAATTCGGTATTTAGAAATCTTTAAAATTTTTCAAAAAATTCAAAAAAATTCCCTACAAACGCGCTCCAATGCAAACCTCCCCAAAATTACCTGTGCAATCAGCGCCTTGTACAACTGCATTTGTAGTCCTTTTCCATAATTCGAAGACGGGAATTCTTTGATTTTCCCAATACTTTTAATCCCCACAAAAATTAAAATAGAGAATGGAATCGTCATGATAAGAAGATAGAAAACCAATCCAAGTCCACATTTTTGGCTGAAAACTTCTTGACCGTTCGGATCGGGCGCGAAAAATAAAGCGGCTGCGTAGGCGGACCGATTGATATCCAAATCGAAAGCCTCTGCGAGGTCAGGGCTGAAAAATTCCGGATTCTCAATGGAGCACGTTTGCCTTTTTGGGGTCTAATGGAATCGAAAAACCGTTTGTTCGTTATAGTGTAAATTTATGTTCTCTGTACCAATATTCTAGACAATATGACTATTTTTCTCAATTTCCGGTACAAGTTCCTGATGGTTTATTTCTGAGCATCTAATATGTCTAGTCACCATGAATGATATATAGTGAATTGTAAATCACGCGCTCATTATCAATGGAGCACACTTACCCAATATACGCTGACGTTACTGTGGTCATTGGGAACAGAAACCAGGACACTAAGGTCCAACTAACACCTCCTAATAGCGGAATTAAAAACCAAAATGGTAGAAATTTTTTGTCGAAATACTTGATTCGTCCTTGTCGTTCAACGGCGAAATATCGGTAGATGAAGTGAATGGCGATGCCGTAGATGATGACTCCGAAACAGCCCGCCATGGCGCCTAGAAAGTTTTAGGGAATCGAAAATTCAAAAATTTTCAGTTTTCATCAAAACCTTGAAAGTTTAGAAATTTCATCGCAACTCATCGCAGAAATTCAGGAAATAAGAAACTCTAAAATTCAGAAATTCAGAAATTTAGAAATTTGGGAATTAAAAAATTTAGAAAATCAAAAATTCAGGAATTCATTTAGAAATTCAGAAATTCGTACATTCAGACATTCAGAAATTCAGACAGATATTAGAAATCTCAAAACTCAAAACTCTACAAACGCGCTGCAATGCAAAAATCATTCCAGAAAAGTTCCGAAAATTCGAAATTCAAGATTTTCGAAAATGTTGAAATTTCGAGAGTTTATTGGAAAATGAAGAAATTCGGGAAAACTAGTGAAAAAAACGTCAGAAATTTAATAGTTTTTTTAGACGATAATACGGTATTAGACAATGAAAAAAAAATGCCGAACGGACGAAAAACGGATGAACGGGGGATCAACGTTTTTTGTTGAATTTGCTTGAAAATACCGCGCCGCTACCAGCTGAGCTATGCGGTGGATGATACAAATGGGTACGATATTACCGCAAATGTATCAACACTATGACTCAAAAAGCACGCACGCTTCGAACAATCAACCCGGAAGCTTCAATGTATTTTTAACTTAACAGGTGCCATTTTCAATTCAGCTGTCTCAAAAAAACCTTTGGTCTTCCAAACTAAAAACATAAACTTTTTCCGATGACGTTTCCCAGAGCACCCTGGGAGCAGAGATATTTTTTCATTATGAATCACATGTCTAGAATAATAGGGCCCATTTGAAAAATCAAATGCCACAAAGTGCGCTCTAATCCCTAAATCCCAAGTTTCCAAAATTTTCCAAAAAAAATCCCGAAATTCCAAAAATTCTAACGTTTTCGAATTTCCTATTTTTCAGCGGGACCGCCCAATCTCCGTTTTTCGTCTGTCCGGAACTTTTTCCTGTATACAGTGCCGTATTTTGTACAAAAAAAGTTTCAAATTTCTGATTTTTTGAATTTCTACAAACTTTTGATTTTTAGTCGCAAGTTCCACTCCTCGAAGAATTTCTAGTAATCGAATTTTCAAAAAAAATTTCAAAAACTTTTGTTTCAATTTCGCTATTTTCCCCCATTTTCCACAAAAAAGAATTACTTACAAACCATAAACCCCGCAATATCCAAAGGAATATCTCGATTTCTCAAATCCATAATCATAAAAAATGCACTTCGATGAGTATGAATAATCGGTCGGACAATAATATCCATCGTTGAAAAAAGAATGGAGCAGCAACAAAAATAAACCATCAAATGGCGATAATTGCCCATTTTCTTTGCGGATTTTGTGACGATTAACACAATTAGAGTGGTATTGATAAGCGCTGATAAAATCACGGATGAAACTTGAATTCCGTTTTTCAAAAAATCAAAAGTTGCAGGCGTCATGTCCATCTCGGCTTTCCTGGATTTTTTTTTGATCAGCTGAGCTCAATCAAGGAAATCAAATAAAATTGGAGCGGAAAAAATAGAAAATTGGTTCAGGTGAACATAAAAAAGTGGGCGGGGCTTAGCAGGTGAGAGACAGAAAAAAGAATAATTATTGTTTTGAATAAGAAAATTGAAGTTTCTCAATTCTCTGGGGAGTCTAGAAAATAAATGTCAAGTTCTAGAATTTTCCGCAAAGTGATTCAGCGTAATCAGGATTTATTCAAGTTTTGTGAAAAAATTGTATTCAATAAACAAGACTACAGACTACAAAATAGACTGCGAGAATGTCAACAAAAACGACTAGGATATTTTTGAAATAAAAGTTAATAAAGGTGATTTCAAGATTGCAAAATTTCAAGATTTTAGGAATTTGATATGTCCGAGAAAATGTGAGATGTCTGAGGTTCTAATTATTTTCCTCAAAAACCAAAATCTCACGCTTGGCTGAAAATCGGAAAAAATCATGTTCACATCAGTGTAACTTTCATAAGTCTATGTCTTTCTGACCTAAAATTTGATCACACTGAAAAATAATCAAGTTCATTAAGCCCATAAAACCAGCCAAAAAATGATCTGTGATGGTTTTTTGGTTTCGCTATCATTTAAAAATCGAGCTTCGGATTTTTTAAAGTTTCGGAATGTAGTCTATCAGAAAAAGCATATTTGAAATCCCAGAAATTATTTTAGTAGTCTGAAAGATATCCATTCGCCAGTATTGTCACGGTGGCGAAATTTTTCGGAGCCGGTTTTTTTGTTGTTGAAAAGTCGTTATATCCTGAAAAGAGTTCCACTGGCCCTAATGAAAATTTTCTGATTCAAAAAACAAAAAGTGACCACATCATTTTCAGACTGAATACAAGCTACATGGATGTCTGGAACAAACGTCTTTTTGTACCCGGATCGCGTCGCCCCCAAGACAAAATTTTTGGACCGGAACAATAACAGAATTATAGATTTCTCATGGGAGACGTCAGAGAAACTATAATTTTACTAGGAACGTTTTATCAGGTCTGAACAACACGAAAATAAATTTATTGAGGGGGGGGTGGGGGGGGGGGTGGCATCTAAATGAGTGAGGACACAAAAAATATAAAGGTTCTCAAAATTTGGTTCGTACAAATTTCACGAGAAGTTGAACCTGTGGGTACGCTGATGGTTTTGCGCCGGGTACCAACAGAGCTACACCGTGGAAATTCCCATAATCGAACAGTGGGAAATAATGTCATTCTTTGGTATGCACTAATTAAAGAAGTGTCTTTGTTTTTCAATTAATATTTTCAGAGAAAGTAAAAGTGCGAAGTTTCTAGAAATTACAAGGAAGTTACAATGTTTTTTTCTAGAAAAATGAAAGTAGAAGTTTGCAAGAACTTGAGATTTTGTAAAAAAAAACCTCGAAAATAAATAAACTGAATTTTCTGCAAAATTATTCATTTTACAAGAAACGGATTTATTCGCATTTCATGAAAAAATACATTTTTAAGTAATCCAGACTGGAGAAAATTTCAACAACAAAGCTAGAACTTTCAAAGGATGTGTTGGTTATAAGATTAATGAGATTTTAGATACAGAAATTATAAGATTGATGAGATTTTTCAAAAAAAAATTAGAAAAAAGGTCAGAAAGATTACCGTAAAACCTGATAGGGAAGGGCGGCCAGACTGTTTAGTTTGAGCTCAATTATCTCAATTTTTATGCAAGATATCAAAAATGTGTCAACTGACAAAACACTTCTGATATTCTGATAAACAATTTATTAGTTGACAAGTTTTTGATATCTCTCACAGGGACCGAGATAATAGAGCTCAAAGGGTTGGTATCGCGAAAAAATCTGGCAATTTGCAATTTTTTATTCAGTTCAATCAATTCACAAATGAAAAGAAGAAAATCTATTTTTTAAACGAAGAATTGCTCAACGAGTTCAACACATTCGCATGGATTCCCAACACTAATGTAGTTCCACCATCAGCTACAATATTCTGCCCAATAATATATTCCGAAGAATCTCGATCCGCCAAAAATGCAATAGTCTTTGCAATGTGTTCGGGACGTCCGGCAAAACCAATTGGAATCGACGATCGGTTGGCTCCCATATCATTATAGAACTGCAACAAGATTACTGTACATACCCTCCGATTTCAGTATTAAAAAACCTTTTTAGCTTCCTCAGCAGACCATCCAAATTCAGATTCGTGAAACCCAGTTTGTACGATTCCAGGATTCACAGTGTTTACACGGATGCCTTCGGAAATTAGGTCAATGGCGGCACTTCTGGTGTATTGATCGAGAGCAGCTTTAGCCATTGGATAATAAGCAAGAAGCGACCACTGAAAAAATTTCATAAGTTTGTATTAAAAAATGTTCAGCGGCAAGCCACAGAACCGGCCACCCGGTGGCCGCCGCAATGCAAACATTCACATACGCCTTGCCTCTTTCCCCCTCGCCGTCGGTTCCATGGTGTAGCGGTTAGCACTCAGGACTTTGAATCCTGCGACCCGAGTTCAAATCTCGGTGTAACCTATCTCTTTTTTTCTCTTTTTTTAACACTCACCCCGGCCTTCACAGCCACTATACTCGACACATTGACAATATCTCCTTTGGTTTTTGCCAAATGTGGACGCGTTTTTTGGGTCAATCCAATCACACTTTCGACATTTACCTTCATGGTTTGCTCATAAACATCTAGCCCTTGGCTAATTCCAGTCTTGTTTTCCGGGTCCTTGATAGAAGCACCAGCATTGTTCACAAGAATATTCAGTTTGCCAAACTTCTCCAAAGTCTCTCCAATCAGCTTATCTTGTCCAGAGCTTGTAGTGATATCAGCGGAAACAATCAAAAAATTCGATTCCGAAATTCCTGCATCCAAAAGTGCTTGTCTCGATTTCTCCAAACGTTCCAAATTGCGTCCAGTTACAGTAACCTGAGCACCTTCTTTAGCGAATAAAAGAGCAGTCTCTCTTCCGATTCCATTTGAAGATCCAGTAATAATAGCAACTTTTCCTTCGAATCTTCCTGGCATTTTAGAGGCAAAGAGTCTTTTGGTTATCATTGAAACTCTCGCAGCCTCTTTTATACCTGAAAAATGATGACAATTTTTTTTTGTTTTGTTGATTCTAATAATAAAAAACTGTACTGTGATAGGAGAGATCGAAAAGTGGGAAAACCCGAAACATTTCGTTCTTTTTTACTTTTTCTATTGGATACGCAGATGTTGTAACAGTTGCCCCGCAGCACAAAACTATTGAAAAATTGTCATCATTTGAACAATGAAAGTGATTCAAGAGAGATCATTGAATCTATCGGGTTCTTTATTTTTTGATCAGAAGGGAAATACTTACTCTTCATGGCTGAAAATTTTGAAACTGATTTTAGTTTTTTCCACACACGTTCCAACATGAACAAACTAGATTTTCCCTCATTTACGCTCCTTGGGATATTGAACTTGCGTACAAAATATTATGGGGGCTCCGCCGCCATAATCTGAGCTACGCGGTCGCATCCGGTGCTTGCGTACCTTTGGAAATTTGAGCTCCATCATCTCGGTTCCTTCAAAAGGTATTGAAAAACTTTCAACAGATAAATTGCTCATCATAATATCATTCACATTTTATCAGTTGACAGTTTTTTGATAGTCCTCTTAGGAACCGAGGTAATTGAGCTCAAAGTGCACGTATAGTGGGGGGGGGGGCTTCTACATATTTGAGAAAGGTTTCATGGTACGAGCCGGTGAGATGAAGCTAGTGAGAAGGTAGATTTTTTAAAATTCGAATAGTAGCCTCCAGATTCCGCGTTTGAAATATTTTGTCGTTTAATGAAGAGATTTTTTGAATCAGAGTTTCATTTCAAATTTGCAGTAATTCTTATTTTCATTTGACATCCAAATATCTGCCCTTTTCGTGCTCTCTTTGGTCTTGGAGAAGTGCTAAATCTCTGCTCACCTAGAGAGACACACAAAAAGAGACGCTGACATATCCAGAAGTCACAACAACGCCTTCATAATCTCATATGCAGCACAAGCCGAGCACACTTTTTTGAGCTCCGATGGCAGGTATAAAAGGCTTAACATTTTTTCACCGACTCACACGTTAAGTTGAACCCCCCACGCCCCCAAATTGCCATTTCATTCCAATGGCACCTACCAAACGTTTCTCTGGAAAGTCTGTTATCATTACTGGCTCTTCTAATGGAATCGGAAGAGCCACTGCCGTTTTATTTGCCAAACAAGGGGCTCAGGTTACTATTACTGGAAGAGATGAGGAGAGATTGGAAGCTGCCAAGAAGCAAATTCTGAAGTTAACTAGCAAGCCGAATGATTTGAATGTGGTGGTGGCAAATTTGACGGATTCCAAAGGGCTCGATGACATTGTGAATTCCACTTTGACCAAGTTTGGAAAGATTGATATTTTGGTAAGTTTTTGTGTTCCATCCACGCGGTGGCAAAGACTGCCGGCCAATGGCGCATGTGAATAGCCTCCTTATCTTTAACCTCAATCATCTCCGCCCCTATAAGAGATATCAAAAAACTGTCAACTGATAAAATGTTTATCATAATATCACCAAAATTTTATCAATTGACAACTTTTGGATACCTCTAACAGAAGGCGAGATAATAGATCTCAAAGTGAAAGAACTGTTTCAGATAAACAACGCAGGAGCAAACATCTCCGATGGTACTTTAAACACGGATCAATCGATTGAATTGTACCAGAAAACGTTTCAAATCAACTTCCAAGCGGTGGTGGAGATGATAAAGAAAACAAAAGAGCATTTGATAAAAACCAAGGGAGAAATTGTAAACGTTTCGAGTATAGCCGGAAATGAGCAAGCGGTGAGTAGCTCTTCAAGTGTTTATAGGTCATCATAGGTCAATTTCTTCCAGTTTTCCGCCACTCCATACTACTGCGCAGCCAAATCCGCATTAAACCAATACACTAGATGTATCGCGTTGGATCTGATTCAATATGGGGTTAGAGTCAATTCAGTGAGTCCTGGAGTAGTGGTAACTGGATTTCTAGGAGCAATGGGGCTGCCAGATGAGTTTAGAGACAAGGTGACAACATCTGATGATTCCCTTGAGCCGTTAAATTTCCAGATGGCCAATTTTATGGCATCCAACAAAGCTTGCATCCCAGCAGGATTCTGCGCGAAGCCGAATGATATAGCCGAGATTATTCTTTTTTTGTCGGATCGAAAAAAGTCGCAATACATCGTGGGGCAATCGATTGTGGCCGATGGAGGAACAAGTCTGGTTACCGGAATGACAGCGTTTGATATGCATGAAATGATATAGCTTGAATTTTGATGAGATAAATTATTTAGAAGCTGCATTTCATTGTTCAGAAAAGTCTTCAACAACACCACCGTTAATTACATGTTGAGCTCAATTATCAGTTGGCAAATTTTTATATCTCTAATAAAAAGTGTTAAAATCGATTGTGTAAAATCTAGGTAATAGGGTTTTTATAGAAAATTATGGAAACTGAAAAAGAGAGTCCCAAAAGTTGATTAAAGCTAGTCCGAATTTGACCTTCGCGAAAATCTTGAAAAATTTTGTCTCTACCGTATTTTCTCGAATAGAAGCCAATCCGTTACGTGCATTTTGAGCTCAATTACCTCGGTCCTTTCAAAAGATACCAAAAATTTGTCAACTGATGAATTCCTTATCATAATCTCATCAATATTTTATCAGTTGACAGATGTTTCATATCTCCCACAGAAACCGAGATGATTGGGATCAAAGTTTTATGTGCGCCATAGGTCTGGGGGTCGCCAACTTTCCAACTGCGTAGCGCAGTCGGTAACGGCGCGAAACCTCCAATATCTTGCCCACAAGTTTAACTCCCCAAAAAGCTTTGATAAACAAAAAATTGAGTTATAACTCTTTTGACCGTCTGAATTCTGAAAGTTTTGTTGTAATGTTGAATGTGATGTAAGGTTGAAATTTAATTAGAGCGTAAACGCTCTAAAGGTGGGGGGACATCAGGCTTGTTCGGAAAAACAAATTCGGAAAATCGTGTTCTCGAATTTTTTCTCGACTTTTTTTTCCGGAAAATCGAGTTCTCGAATTTTCTCGAATTTCAATTAGTCAAAAATTACCAAAGTATGTTTTCATTCAAAAAAATTAATTTTAAAAAAATTCACCTTAAATCGACCCCGTAAATCGACACCGATTGCGGGTCTCGCCGCGCTTGGGTTACTGTTGCACCCGTTTCAACTATACAAAGTAGAGATTTCCTCTTACTTTGAACGCAGCATGATTATTTCGAGAAAAAAATTTCCGACGGAAAAATTTTCCGAAAAAAACCGGAAAATCGGAAAAATCGAGAACTCGATTTTCCGATTCCGACCAAGCCTGGGGGACATGAAAAAAATAATGTTCTCGAAATTCCGTTCAAAGATGCCCCTCGAGGAGTTGAACTTGTGAAGGCGATGATTGAGGGTGCGGCGCCGCTACCGACTGAGCCACGCGGGCAAAGAGAAAGCGCACGTCCGTTTGCATACATAAAGGCGAGGACGACAGCTGTACGCAGAGTGACATTTAGCGTTGTACACCGTGACGGTAGAATGCATACTCTAGCTACAAAAAAACTACGAAAAATCTCCTGTCCCCCACCTTTAATGGAACAAACCAACTTCCTTCTTTGAGTCAGTTTATCTCGGTTCATGTGAAAGCTACCAAAAAGTAATCAACAGACAAAATGTTTCTGATATCTTGATAAACATTTAATTAATTGACATATTTTTGTTATCTTTCACAGGAACTAAGATAATTGAGATCGAAATGCAGGCTTCCATTAGAGCAAATACGGTACGTAAAACACAAAACTCAAAAAATCAAACAACCAGAACCACACATTCCCTAGCGAGTCTAGCACACACAAATGATTCATTTCTTCGTCAACCTACAAAAATGAAATTCATGACGTGCCTTGCTTATCAAAATGATAACACTTTTTTATAAATCGTTCACCAGCTAACTACACTCAAGTGTTGGAAGACATGATTGTGTTATTGCTACTGATTGCCGCTTCTGCTACAGTATCAGACCCAGTTTGCCCAAATGGAACTATGATTTTCAATCCGTTTGACGACGTTTCATACCCAAATGGTTTTCAAGGACAAAATGCTACCACACTTTTTCCAGACAATTTTCAATGTGAATTTCAGGTTTTTCAAAATTTTTAGGATAACGGAAACTAGAAGAAAAAGTTTCAGATCAATGTCCCAATAGGATGGTACGCCACGGCGACAATGTCCCTTTCATCGAAAACTTTACATGCTCCGGTTCAAGTGATTGATCAAAATGGGAATGTTGAAAAGTGAGTTATATGAAAAAATTAATTGGAAATTGTCATTAAAGGGTCTTCGCTGCATCTGCCGAACTGTTTTTCTTCTTGGCACCCCATGGAAAAGTCAAGTTGTCCACTGAAAATTTCAAAGTCAAATTTGGAATTCAGATTTATTGGGATCAATGTAATTTTTTTCTTTTTCCTATTTGAAAATTTAGTTATTCCTCAACTTATAATTTTCAGACCCCACAATGTCCTACCCAACTATTCGAAAACTTGATCCGACAACTTCCGAACCAATTGCAAACTATAGAAATGGTTCATCGTTAGCTATCGTGGAATCCGCTACTCAAGTCTCTGCTACAGTAGTCCAACCTCTAGACGAAAATCTACAGTACCTTCGAGGAACGATTTTCTTCGATGGACCCGATTGGAATTCCACGTATCTTGGCACAGGATTCCAGCTTTTGAGCAACCAAGCTCAATTTGTTTCCACTGGAAACTTGTTAAGCGTTTTGTACCTTGGAGATTTTAGTGGCTATGATCAAGTCACTGTTATATTTCAAGACTATTCCTATACAAGAGGTCTGACACAGTTTCAAGCAGTCTCCTGTTTTATTTATGAGTACTGTGGAAACTTTGATATGGAAGGACCAGCTTCTTTCATTACATATTCCATGCACGGCGGACCAGAAGTGTTGACAAGTGTAGTCGGTTCTGGAACCCTCGATGTCTACATTGGAGGCGTCATGAAGAATAAGACGATTGCTAGTTATACGTGAGGGATTTCAAAATAAGACTATACTTCTAAAAATGCTATTTTCAGAGCTGGTCCTTCCTATAACAATAATTTACCTCAGGTTTTCTATGGAAGAATCAAAACTTACATACTCACTGGCGGCAATGCTACTATTAACATTACAAGAGACAGTGACACATTTCTAATGTCCCGAAATTTGGAGCGAAAAGGATTTATAGCATCTGGAGAATACGGAAAATACAGTAACACCCAAGACGTCACTGATAGGATTCAATCACCAAGTGTATCCTCCAAAATACGGTATAATATAAGAAGTGCGGATTTACAAGAACCGGTTCGCATGGAAATTGTGGAAATGAAAAATGCAGAGATTCTGTCGAGGAAGATGTGAGTTTTTGGAATTTTAAAATAATCATTCAAACATTTTCCAGATACAATTTTTCAAACAAACCAGTTTTGAACTCATTTAGCGAATTTTATGGGAGTTCACTACAAGTTCAGTATAATACCAATGAATCTTATAATGCAGGATTCTATGTGGATTTTGAAATTTCTAATGGATCAACAAATGGGTTCGCAGCAATCTTTACTATCTTGTTTTGTTTATTTTTGTTAAGCTTTTGTTAATTTCGTTAATTGAATGAAAATTGTTATATGGAATGAAACAACATTTTCTTCAATATTCGTTTATATAAATGTTTCAAAATCTGCCTGCCGGTAAAACTTTTTTACTGATTACCACCAGTGAAGCGCTGCCGACGGTAGAACTTACCGGCTATGAATTCTGGAAGCCGTGAAAAACTCACCGTGTGGTTCACGGGGACAATTTCATTTTGACTTTAAAAAATATAGAGTAACTGTCGACATAGCCTAACTTTCTCAACATGAGTTTTGTAGTCTACCGTAGAACAAGGTTCACAAACGCATAATTCGGAGGGTACGAAATTTTTTGGGTCATTGGGTACAAAGCAATTTAGGGGTAAAAAAGTCTCAATTCTAGGGTACAAAAAATCTGAAAAAGTTTAAACTTTGTAGCCCCGAATTGTGGATTTTGTACCACTAAATCACTTTGTACCCCTTGTACGTCCGAATTGTTGTACCCACCAAATTGTGTGTTCTAACACGTTTTCTAGGCAATTCACCACCGTAGCCTAGCTTTCGCCAAATTGAGTTTTTTAGGCCATCAACTTTTATGGCCTAGAAATGAAACGATAGTCATCTGATGTGTTTTGTATGCCATTTTAACACGACGAGCTAACTTTCGCACGACTATTGTCTTCAAAAAAAAGATTTTATTTATTTCAAAGGATTGACAACAAAAAACTACTAAAAAAACAAAAAAAGTTTATTTGAAAAGCGGACACTCTCGTCCATGAAGATTATAAACCATTGCAATATCTCTACAATCCTGATAAAACGTATCGAGTTTGTTGACATCAACAACATCGCCATTTGGTATCTGGTAAAGCTCAAAATCTGAAAATTAATTTTTCAAAGAACTGAAGGTTTATTTGCAGATCGCAGCAGATCGAAACGCGCCATCCAATAGTTCAAATAAGACCAGAAAACTATCGCTAAGCAGCTTTTTCTGAGCATCATCAAAGCGAATTTCGGATTCAAAAAACGGGACCAAATTCTGAATGATCAGCTTGAAATAGACTTCGCAAATATTTTTCAACTCTTGGTAATTGGCTATTTTTGGAGAGTGAGCCTAAAATTGTTAGGATAAAAATTGGTTTACGTTTTCGATTTTTTATTGTGAAAATCACCTCTTTCTGGAATCTTTGGTTTCTGGAGTTGAGCAAATTTCCATACGCTTCTTTGAGCCCATCTAGTAGAGAAATTCTTGATTTTTCCGACCTCATTCCACTTTGAATGCATTTTTGAAAGCGACAGTTTTTACATAGTCTTTTAGAGTTTCGACATTTTGAAGACATTTCTCGACACAATTCGATTTTTCAATCATTTTCTTACTTGAGATTGCTCGACGAAAAAATGAGGAGCATGCTCTGAAATTCGAACATTTTGGGATTGTTCCAATTTTCGAAATTTGGGATTCTGAATTTTTTGGATTTTGGAATTTATAGAAGCTCCAAGTTTTTTGAATTTAATTTTCTTTGGAACTCCTAATTCTTTGAATTTCAGGATTTTATTGAATTTTTTAAAATGTTCGGAATACCTGCACGAAACTACACTAAAATGTTTGCAATCTGCACTTCCCTCGAAAATTGTACAAATTCTTGTAAAGGATTTTTGACAATTTTTCATGTCAAAAAGACAGCTTTGCAAAATAAATTCACTCCAATCCAACAAAAAGCCAATATAAAATAAGGAGACAGTGTAACGTTTATGTTTGATTTCTTTTTTCGCCAAAAGAAATAATGGAATTATTGAGAGATAAGCAATATAGGACATTTTCCCTAGGAAATGGTAACCTTCAGAGTCATGAAAAGTGTTCCAGGAATTTTCGATTTGTCTGAAAATTTCAGAGTGAAAGTGTCTTATTCAAATCAAAAAAGGTAAATCGAATTTCAGTGTTAACTCCTACAATTTCGACTTCCTGTGTTCAATGTGCCAGACAGGTACTACCTGTGTTAAACATGCCGGAAATTGCGATATTTTTCCTGTTCCGGTTCTTTTTTAGTTTTCATCGTATTTGCGGGACTTCCTCATATTATCACAGATAACATCACCTCAATGTACATCAACTGGGCTCATCACTACACCCCAAAGATTAGTGGTACTTGCTCTGTAATGATAAACTCCTTATTCATCTACATAGTTCATGATGATAAAAAAGTAAAGTTGGGATGCTATAGATATTTGCTCATTTTCTTTGCTCTGTACAACTTTACAAGTACTGCTATCGATCTTATGGTACCCGGGGTTTGCATAAAGACATTTTTCCAAAAAATTAGAAGAAGAGTTACAGTGTGTTTTGGATCATGGCTACTCCTTTTCCTTCTTCATTGTCGGAGGAGTTTTCGAGAAGGTAATATGTGTGAAACTTGAAAAATAAAACATGAAAAAAGGGATAGGTTCCACCGAGATTTGAACTCGGGTCGCAGGATTCAAAGTCCTGAGTGCTAACCGCTACACCATGGAACCCCGGTAATAACCCTACCTGCTTGAGGCATTTATGTACTTTCCCCTTTCGGAGGATTATTGAGAGATACACCATCTTGAAAAAATCAGGCCCGGCCCGGCCCAGCCCCCCGGGCCCGGGTTTTCCAAATTCGAATTTTTTTTTGAAATTTCAGAAATTCTTTCAAGTTTTTTTGGGAAAAAAATATTTTTTAATGATTCTTGACAGAAAAATAATCCATTTTTTCTGTTGACCCCGAAAAATTTTTTGAAAAGAAAGGACATTTTTTTTCTGAAACTCGGGCCAAGACGGGCCTTGGAAATTCTAAAATATGCCAGGCCCGGCCCGTTGCAAGTATGCAATATATTTAAAAACCGCTTTTTCTTTTTTCGCAGAGATCTTACCTTGGAACTATGTTCGTTGGCTTTCGATGCTGTATTATTTCAGCGGCTTACTGTATTCTACACTGTCATTTTGTGTACAGATACATGTTACTATTTCAGTAAGCTAACATTGGAAAATGCTGATAAATGATGATTTTACAGCCGGAAATTTCTGGAACATTTTTTCATGCCATATGGACTTTTGACATCGGTAGGGTATAGTTTTATGATTATGGTCTTATGGTTTCCGGTTGGTTTACAAAATTCGGTTATCCAAAAATTTTGAACTTACTATCAGGCCTGTTGGATTTTCGCTGAAGCTGACGATGAGCGAAGAAATTATATAGCTGCGGAATTTTATGAGAGATACGGTGTCGACGTTTACGACATCAATGTGATTACTTGCCTCTATAATGTAAGCCAAAGTGAACGATTAGATATATTATTTTTCAAGGAAGCGACCTCTGACGTAATCAAAAATTCATGGATCGGTATTCTGATTGGAACTTCGATTTCTGCGTATTCTGTGATTCTATGCTTTATTTTCGGCACTTTCATAATTCTTCGCCTTCGAAGTGGCGAACTAAACATGAGTGAAAAAACCAAACATTTACAAAAACAGCTTATTAAAGTTCTCATCGTTCAGTCTTCAATTCCAGTTATCGTCTGTTTCTGTCCATGTTTTGCCGCTTGGTACATGCCAGTTTTCAAACTGAACGTTGGAAATTGGATTAATTGGATATCGGCCGTTGCAATCTCATTTTTCCCGGTTCTCGATCCATTGGCTCTGTTTTATTTCATTCCAGTTTTTCGAAGTCGCATGAATGAAATCTTTCGGTTAAAAGGGAAGATCAGATCTGGATCAACAAGGATATCAACAATCTGATTTTTTTATTCAAGCACTTGATACAATTTATTGGCACAATTTGTTCTACTGTTTTCTATTATAAATCAATAGAACACAAACTTCTTTCTTTTTGTTTTTCAAAAAGTACACACGTACAAAAGATATGAACAATATTTATGAAAAACGGAACAATAAAAAATTATCAAACAAAAAAAAACGGATAGGTTCCACCGAGATTTGAACTCGGGTCGCAGGATTCAAAGTCCTGAGTGCTAACCGCTACACCATGGAACCCCGGTGGAGACTCCCTAGCTTTTGTCATGTATGAGCCTTTCCATCGGAAACAGGATTGTTGGTTCGTCAAACATCGGAAAGTCTCTTTAGTGTCAATCAGACAAGTGTCAATACGGAAAAACAATCAAGCAGGCATCAGAGCGAACAAAAAGTAAATAATAGACAAAACCCTAATAGACAAAAAACGGATATTAGCTTTCATTTTCTGGGTAAATTTCTCAATTTGCGGTACATCATGGATTGTTTTTTCGTACCCATATTTCTCATTTCGTAATGTACATCAACTGGGCTCATCACTACATTCCGAAATTCAGTGGAGCACTGTCATTTTTCATAAATATTTTATTCATTTTAATTGTACACGATGACAAAAAAGTGAAACTTGGAGACTATCGATATCTGTTGATTTTCTTTGCATTGTATAATCTTTTAAGCACGCTTGTTGATATAAGGGACCTTCCTTTGAATTCACGGAAAATCTTAAGTTTTAGGGAATCCTGAACCATGAGTACGGATTTTCCTTTTTTATTATCGATGGAATTTTTAAAGAAAGATCTTTTATCAATACATTCTTGCTCTCCTTGAGATGTGGTCTTGTATCCGCAGCATACTGTATCTTACACTGTCATTTTTATACAGATACATGTTGTTGTTTCGGTACTTAAATTAGTGTTTTAATTGCTGAAAGTTGTTTTGTTCCAGACAAAAAACAGTTCTGTTTTACTTCCTTCCGTATGGCTTCGTTTTAGGAATAGTGTACTGTTTATTAGTGACGGCGATTTGGTTGCAGCTAAACGAAAATGATTTTCATGATAATTGGTTTCATTTAATTACAGTCTTCTCTGATTTTTGGGAATGCCGATGACGAAAGAAGACTTTACATGAAACAGATATTTTGGGAGAATTTTAAAGTGGACACTTTTGACATGAATACAATTATTTGCGTTTACAATGTAAGTTGTGTTCAGCTTATGAAGGCTGTGAAAACGTGGATTTTTGGTTGGAGTGCTGGTGGGATGGGTAAGACAACCCAGGTCGCGGCCGACCACGGTCCTGTTTCCGACAGCCTTGCTATGTATGAAGCATCAGTCAAAGTTTCACATGTTTTCAGAATGCTAGTTCTCGTGTGATTAGAAATTCATTTATTGCGATTTTCTACGCCACGACTATGTCAACGTATTCAATGGCTGTCTGCATCATTTTCGGAACATTAACGATCCGGAAATTACAAAGCTTGGGGAATTCGATGAGCGACAAAACCAAAAATCTTCAGAAGCGACTTATGTATGCACTGATTGTGCAATCTTCAATACCAATTGTAATTTGTTATTGTCCATGTATCACCACATGGTACCTTCCAGTGTTCAAATTAGATATTGGAAGTGACATTTTCTGGATTTCATCAGTAGCAATCTCATTCTTCCCGGTATTTGATCCGTTGGCCCTGTTTTATTTTATGCCAGTTTTTCGAACTCGACTGAAAGAGATATTCCTGCTTAAAGAAGTAACAGTTGGACCCGGGTCATCGGGAATAACATAATTAATTTTTAATTTAATTATGACAAAGTATATAAATAAAACCGTTATAAAAAAGGAACGGATATTAATTTTTTTCTGGGTAAAGTTTCCCATTTCCGGTACATCAACCCTCGTTTTTTCACTACCATCTTCGTCAATAAAAAGTACTTGCCATTTCGTACAAACCCCGATTAAAATAAAGAAAATTCATGTTGGATTACCGAAGCTTGAAACCAAAAAGGTACCTATTTTTCTTCATTTTACAAAAATAAAAAACGATAGGTTCCACCGAGATTTGAACTCGGGTCGCAGGATTCAAAGTCCTGAGTGCTAACCGCTACACCATGGAACCGGTGGTACCCTCACCCGCTTTAGGCGTTTATGTACTTTTCCTTTTCGTAAACAGGATTGTTCGTTTTTCAAGCAGCGCAACGTCTCTGCAGTGTCAATCAGACAAGTGTCAATAAGGAAAGAAATTAAATTTCTGGAGAGGAAAACAATTGCTGGTACATAGACAACTAATCAAATTGATTTGAAAAAAAAAACTATTTTTAGTCTAACTAACAACAAACAATATATTTTGAGGTGTTGGAAATGTTTATTTCTGTCTAATAAAAATATTTCTACAAACCAGACGAAGTTCTACTAATCATTGACATCGAATACGCTATCTTTGATTCTGTATGCAACAATAACCGATGAATTTTTTGAAAAAATACAATATAAATGAAATCTCTATATGGTTTGTGTACTGTAATCATGATTGCAGTAGATAATAATCCGTGGAATGCAGTAATGATGAAACATAGATTATTAGCCGCTTGATTGAAGTATCCGGAAAACATTGAAATGGCCAGGTAGCTGATAGGAAGGATTAGAATCAGAATTGGCATGGAGGTCTGAAATTTTTGACGTAAATATGCTCGAGCTCTATTATCTCGTTTCCTATAAGAAATATCAAAAAGTGGTCAACTGATAAAATGATTATCGTAATATCACCAACATTTCATTAATTGACAAATTTTTGATAGATTTCATGGCAACCGAGATAATTGAGCCCAAAGTGCACGTACAGGGTGCGCCTCTATCAGAACAATACGGTGTCAACTTTGATTCGATTTATCTGGCTTCCTGTCAAATATATCAAAAAATGATAAACTGATGAAATATTAGTGATATTATGATTATTTTTAATAGTTTACAAATTTTTGTATCTTTTTATGGCAACCGAGATAGTCGAGCTCAAAGTGCACGTGTAGAGTGGGCTTCCATCAGAGCAAATACGGTATCAACTTAGAGTCAATTTATTTGGGTTTCTTTGAAATATATCAAAAAGTGTTCAACTGATAAAATGTTTGTCATAATATTACAAATCTTTTGTAAGTTGACAAATTTTTGATAACTTTTTGGGCTCACAAAAACTCACCTGAATACAAATCGCTCGAAAAAAGATCTTTTGAACTTGTACCATTTGTGGAGACATATTCAACAACCTCGATCTCTCCTTCATATTCCTATAAAGTATTCTGGCGAATGTCACAGACGTGCCGGTCACCAATCCGATCATAATAACAAGAGTCCAAAAGAACTCGTGAAAATCGGTGGATAATACAAACATCTTGCCATCGGATAGAATGTATTCTTGGATTTCTGGTATAATCTGTAATTTGGAATTGTGGGTGTGTGTGTGTTTTTTGTACTTTAGAGGAGATCAAACCTTCAAAACTTCTGCCATTGCCTGTTTCTGCTCCGGAATACTCAGATAGGAGGGTAGAAAACATAGGAAAGATGACAGATACAAAAATGTTAGGAATGGAATCCGGAAGTATTTCCAGGAACTTTCCCAAGAGAAAAGTAAATAAAACCGATTTTCAAGAATAGCTGTAATCGAGACACCAACAGCTGAAATTAAAAAAATATAGTCTTTTTTGACATTTTCAGAACGTCAGGTGATAAAAAAGCTTTACCAGGAAATAATGTGACAATGAGGTAGAGTTGAAGCTCTACTGGGACCCCGACATATTCGAAAATTCCCAAAGAACGACCAATGAGAGCCGGGAAAAGAACATAGGGAGTTGTGAACAAGCTTATAGTCAAATCCAGAAACACACTCCAGAAATGTAAGTTGAACATGGTCCATTTTACAGATCTCATAGTACGGGGTGTCTTAAAAATGATGCAGTATGCTCCAATCAAATGCATAGGGATTTCAAAGCAAGCCATTAAATGTAGAGTGCCTGATAGGAACGCCGGAGAGTTCACATAAGAATGGTTGACCATTGAAAACAGATGAAATGAGATTTGAATGGCTAGAGAAGGAATAATGAATCATAAAAGGCGGAAAAAAATAGAAGTCACCTCCTCCTCCACCTCCTTGAGTAACATGCGCCTACTGTGCACCAGTGTGGAAAGGAGGACTACAATTAATACGTGCAAATTGATATTTTCAGAGTACGGATTATAATAGGGTGTCTTCTATAAAGAAAACTAGAAGTACCCACGTCAGTAAATGTGTTATGGAAGTCTGATTCCATTCCGTTTCTGACTTTAGGCGTCTGTCAGTCCTCTGTCCGTCTGTGGACTTTTGAAAAAAATTGAAAATTACATATTTTCGTGTCCCTTTTATTTAGAAAAAGTGAGAAACGAAGCGGCGAACATTTGAAAAAAATAGATTGAATCGCGCCAAAGGCGCACCAGCTTGCTGGTAACAATAAAAAAGCAAAAGCGATAGGTCCCACCGAGATTTGAACTCGGGNCGCAGGATTCAGAGTCCTGAGTGCTAACCACTACACCATGGAACCGACGAGACACGGTTGTCTTGCCGTAGACAAGCACGCTCTACGCGACACGGCCGCCAACATGTTACAAAGTGTACAAAACGGCCTTGAGTGTGTCAGGTGGTTGGTTCCATGGTGTAGCGGTTAGCACTCAGGACTTTGAATCCTGCGACCCGAGTTCAAATCTCGGTGGAACCTATCGTTTTTTAAAATAAAGGTCGGAAATCGATTTTCAAGGGGAAAAAAAAAGAAATTTACTTTTTTTCTGTGTGACGTTGTGTTTATCAAATTTATAATTCTCTAAAAAAGTAAATACTTTGGTCCGAAACCAGGACATTAGCGGGATATCAAAATATCAGCTACAAACTTCAAGGTCTCTTTGGACACGTCTTCCTTCGCTTCACTAGACCTGATATGCTCTTTGTTTTGATTTTGGAAGCTTCTAAGTATAGAAAAAATCAAAGATATAATTTTAATAACATTTTTAATATATACAACATCGTTACAACATCGTTGCAAATTTATAATAAACAGAAAAGAGAAGAAGTAAAGCTTCACAGGTGAAATGTCAAAGTTGATGAGAAAATCGGGGCTAAAATAAGAAAACGATTATTAAGGAAAAAAAGTTAAACCAATGAATAGCTAGCATTGGTGTCGACATATATGAACAAAGACATTGGTTGTTGCGGTTCAGTATTTTTAATTTCGGAAAATTGCAGAAAGTCAATTGAGAACCAAATTTTTAAAAAATTGGCTAAAAACAAGAAAAGTTAAAGGTGGGGGGACATGAAAAAAATAATGTTCTAGAAATTCCGTTCAAAGATGCCTCTCGAGGAGTTGAACTTGTGAAGGCGATGATTGAGGGTGCGGCGCCGCTACCGACTGAACTACGCGGGCAAAGAGAAAGCGCACTCCCGATTGCATACATAAAGGCGAGGACGACAGCTGTACGCAGAGTGACATTTAGCGTTGTACACCGTGACGGTAGAATGCATACTCTAGCTACAAAAAAACTACGAAAAATCTCCTGTCCCCCCACCTTTAAGGGAAATATGCAAAAATTGAAAAATGTCGATATACGGTATTGCATTCACTTCGCCGTCGGACAAGCTTATCATATTAAATAAAGTGCCCTCTTGGATTTGGGCCCACTCTAGATGTTGCTTCAGGCTTTATCAACTCTTTAATGAGTCTTCTTCCATTGAATGATCCAAATAGAGTGATAACATTTTGTCTGTTACAAGTCAGATAAGATATTTGAATGATAACTGGAACCGAAAAAGCATCCCAAATACGAATGAAAATAATCATACTTCCGAGGTCGTCGATTAACACGAAAAAGAAGTAAGGTACATATATCTTGAATAAATGAGATGATTATGGGCGTTTGGTTTTTCACGCTCACCATTTTCACCACCAACGCAGTCATTGTTTGCCAGAATATGTAAATTTGAGGTTTTTCTTCTTGAACTGATCTTAAATGGGACATTTTTTGAACACTTATTAGTATAGGAATGTATAAAAATGCAGATACAACGAAAGATATATTCATTGAAGCAAAGAATATCTTAATTGAAGAAACCGAATTAATCTTGTTGATACTATGGAATCTTACCACATTGAAACGTCTGACTATTCTATAGAGTTCTTCTTCCCCATTTTGCAGTTTATGAAAACCAAAAATTAGTAAAATGAAACTGATAAAGTCTTTAGAAACGAATATGTAGTAGGTGTATCGTATAAAATATTGCATATTCCTGCGAGACAAAATTATGTATTTCTCTGATGATGGGTAGAAGAAGAGCAGGAATTTTTGAACTGCCATAATTGTTAAGAAAAATTGAAACACTTGAATGTAGATGAAAATAGCACAAAGGCAGAATCCAAAGGAAAAAAGACAGAAAGTAAATAATGGATATTCTGTACTGCAAAAAACTATGATTCAAAGTAGTTGGATGAAGACGCCTTCAAACTTACATACTACTTAAATCATCAGGCATTCTGAAAAAAAAATCTGATTTCTAGAAATAAAAAGCCAGCGTCTGAAACTTTTTTGAATTTTCAGAAAATTAGTTTTTTTCAAATACATTCTTATCTCGTTGTCGATTAACTCGGTTAACGTACACATAAAATGGAAATATAACTTGAAGAACAATGAAAATCGATACGAAAAGTATATCAAAAATTAATTTAAAGGTTTCCCCGATTTCATCAGTTTTAAGGACATCCAATATGAATGAGGTGTCATTCATCGAAAAACCTTTGGCAAATGGAAGACAGGAAGAATGAGTGTTACATTTGTTTTAAAGTTAAAAGAAATCAAAGAAATTCATTTTCACCTGTTCCTAGTCTATTCTTGAAATTTACACGCGTCTGTTGGTGCCGGTGTCAAGCTGTCCACTTTTGAAAAAGTTGAAAAGTAAATATATATTTACGTGACCTTTTTTAAGTAGTGAGGAGCGGAGCGACGAACCAATGAAAAACTAGATTAAATCGCGCCGAAGGCGCACCAAGTTCAACTTTTTCAAGTTCAACTTCGTTCCTCAAATCATATGTCTCCTTGGGTCTGGGCTCACTCTAGTTGTCACTTCAGGTTTTATCAATTCTTTAATTAGTTTCATTCCTTTAAATAAAGCAAATAGAGTAATAACATTTTGTCTGTTACAAGTCAGATAAGTTTTTTTGAACAAATGCGCCTTTAATAGCGTACCCGACAATAAATCCATTCAGGCCCATTTTGGCTGTTTTCCTGATTTACAAGGAAATTCAATCGACCAGCATTTATTGCCCTATTGGCACTTGTCTAATTGACACTACAGTGACTGTCCACAGCTTGACAAACGAACGATTCGGTTTCCGATGGAAAGGTTCATATATGACAAAAGCTAAGAAATCTCTCACCGGTTCCATGGTGTAGCGGTTAGCACTCAGGACTTTGAATCCTGCGACCCGAGTTCAAATCTCGGTGGAACCTATTGTTTCTCTTTACTTTTAAATAAAGGTTGGGAAATCGAAAAATTTATAAAATGTCATTTTCAACTGATTTTTATAAATTTTTTTTCTAAAAATGTCTGGAACTTTTTCCCAAGTTTTTGGAATGCTTATACTCCGAATTCAATTTTAAAATATTCCAGATATTCTTAGCGAAAATTCATGAACATCGAATGAAAATTGAGAAAGTTATGGACGAAATTCCATAACTCTGTTCATTTTCAACCGATTTTTGACCTAAACTGTTTTGCTGAACTTTTTCATTGTAAAATTAAAACTTCATACTTTTAAGTTAAAACTCAACACATTCGAATGAAAACTAAGAAAGTTAAAGACAAAATTTCATAACTCTGTTCATTTTCAACCGATTTTCATGATTCTTGGCTTACAATTACTGGAAATTTTTTCCCGAATTTTCGTAAATTTTTTCATTGGGAATTAATGAAATTACAGACGTTTGAAGCTAAAAATCATGAAAATCTAATCTAACAAAATTGAGTATGTCATGCTTTGGTCCCGTGTACCTTTAACTGGATATCAAATAGTCAGCCACAAACTTCAAGGTCTCCTGGAAGCGTCATGCTTCGCTTTACTGGACCGGATATGCTCTTTGTTCTGATTTGGACGCTTCTAAATTTTTCCAAAAATCAAAATATACAATTTAAAAATTATTTATATACAACATCCTTTTAAATTTACAATAGAAAAATGTCGCTGGGAAAATGCCAAAAGTACAGAAAAAGGGAAAGAAGTAAAGCTTGACAGGTGAAATGTCAAAATTTTGAGAGAAAAAAAAGAGAAAATTGGGGCTAACAAGAAAATATTAGGTGAGAGTTTAAACCAATGGATAGCTAGCCTTGGTGGCGACTCCACAGTGGTTGTTGCGGTTACGGGCAATACGGATGTATCCCTTCTCTCCCCATCCGGTTCCCCATGAGTTCTTGACGAGCCAATAGTCTCCGTGCTCTGGGTCGGTACCGTATCCGACGAGCAACACTCCGTGGTCGAGCTCCTCAGATGAGCACTCCTCGTCGTAGTAGACTCCTGGAAACATTTTTAATGCTTTTGAGTTTGGTTTTGAATTCAAAAAACTTCCTATTCTCTTCCTCTCTCTCTCTCTCTAAACATCTATCATTCAAAGCATGTTATCACTTGTACCCCGCTTAACTAGCTTTCTTATCACTTCTTGTCATCACCCAAATGCAAATACAAGTGACCCTGACTATCAACTAATGACTATCAAGGGATCAATCGGATACAAACACTAACCCTTCTTGTACAATTGGAAGCTTCGGTGTCCGGCATCAATAGCAATGGAGATTGGTCCTTGGGTGGCGACAGCGATCTTAAGTTGCTCCTCATCTCCTTCTGGAGTGTCAACGTATCCCTTGTCGTCAGCTCCAACAGTCTTCTTATTGAAATGACACTTCATGTCACGTCCCTTGTATGGGTAAGACTCCTCGGTATCAACACCATGGTTATCACGAATGTACTCGAAAGCCTGGTCCATGAGTCCTCCGTTGCATCCGTGGTTACCGTACTTGGTCGAGCAGTCGACAAGGTTTTGCTCGGAAAGGGAGACGAGTTGTCCAAGCTTGCGGGCGTGCTGACCTTCGAGAGCTCCAGTGGCGGAGAATGCCCAGCAAGATCCGCACATTCCTTGGTTCTTGACGTCGGTGACGAGGTGGGTATCACGCCAGTCAACCTCATCTGGGACCTGAAATTATTATGAAATTTATTTTAAGTATCAAAGATTACTATTCCTATTACTATCATGAATTCTTACTATCAGGAAAAGTTGTTTTTTGATGTCTAGAGTTTGACCATCTTGAGCACAAATAAAATGCTTACCTGAACATTGAATGGAGCCAAGAAAGAGGAAGAATTCTTGATTCTAGAATCTCCAAAAAGGCGCCTGTATCCGTTGAGCTTGCGGTATTGGGAGAATGGCTGAAAGATGATGGGATGATATTGGATGATGCAACAACGGATGTTTTGATTTCTATCAGGTGACCTTTGTCCCGAGATCCCATCGGGCAGCTGTTGGTCAGTCACGAGATCCCTTATCCCTCTTTTCCTCTTTTCTCGCCACTTCGTCAAGTTTTTGAAAGAGGAATAAGAACAGCGTTTGGGGATACAATCAAGTTTTGATTTTGCAAATCGGCTTATTGTCACTTATCAATTAGCGAGATGAAAAAGAAAGATAAAGACAAGACAAGAAATAGTTGATAGATATAACAAGGATCATGCTAAGCAGAAACTAAGGATTAGTTGTATGAAAAATAAGCAACGTTGGGCTTGGCTAATATAATATAAACTAATATAAGGCTACTTTATGCTCAATTATCTCAGTTGCTAAAAAAAATATTAGAAATCTGCCAACTGATAAAGTTTTTATCAGGTTATTACCAACATTTTATCAGTTTACAACATTTTGATATCTCTTACAGAAGTTGAGATAATTGAGCTCAAAGTGGGAGTATAGAGTTGCGTTGACTTAGATTTGCACTACTTTTGTTCGACTCTGAGTTCAGAGTTTATGTTCAAAGCTAGTTTGAGACTATTTTTGCCCTACTCTTGTCCTATTCTCGCTCTATTGCTAACTTATTCCTCATAGGCCCCATTCCTTATCACTCACCAAATCAGCAATATGATTCAATCCCATCTCGAAGGTTTTTCTGCCAAGTCTATGATCACGGTTGTGGTTCTCAATGTGGATGACGTTCTTGACGAAAGCCTCCATATAAGTTTGCTCCTCGCTCTCCGTGTACTCCTTATCGAAATCCTCCTTGTAGTCGTCCCATTTCTCAATAGCCGACTCGATTTGTCTTGAGAGTTTGGCCGAGTTGACGGCGACGACGGCAAGCACTGCCAGGAGAATGAATCGGTTCATTCTGAAAGGATAAATTGGAAATTTTTAAAGAGCATTTGAGAAGAAATTCGAAAAAGAAGAAAGGAATCGAATAAAAGAGGAATGTGCTATAAGAACGAACAGGGAGGGGGGTTTATGAAGGATCCCAAAAGAGGCGGAGCCTCGGTCCTGGCCAACAGCGTCAATCAGTGTTGGGGTACGAGGAGAGACACAGAGGGTGAGGAGACGAAGCGATCAAACCATCAGGGTTATCAGTTGTTATCAGTAGAGAAAAGAGAGAAACGAAGAAAAAATGTTCGGAGAGCATCTCTGGTGCTAGGGGCTCCAAATAGTACATACGGTCATCAAAATTATAATCGGGTTAATGCAGAAAAATGACCATAAATAGGTTTGATAAGGCATGTGGCCCCAAGAGAGAAAGTTCTGGAAATGCTAAAATTGGGTTTTGGTGGAATTTAAAAATTTGAAAAACCCCAATTTAAAAAGTGTCACTTTTAAAAAATTTGATTGAAGTTTTTTGAGCAGTTTCATCAGCTTCTACTGACACTTTATAGGTGTGGAAAGTGATAAGAATTGATTGGTATGAAGAGAAATATTCTAGAATTTTCCATGAAAAAATAGGATAATGTCAAAAACCGAAATTAGAAAATTCAGAATTTCAGAACTTCAAAATTCCAGAAATTCGAACATTCGGAGAGTCGAAAATTCTACTTCCGGAAATTTCAGAATTTCCGAATTTCAGAATTTCAGAATCATTCTAAAATTCTAAACTTCTATAACTCTAAAATTCTAGAGTTCTAAAATTCTGAAAATCTAGAATTATAAAATTCTACAATTCTAAAATTCTGCAATTCAAAAATTCAAAAGTTTAAAAATCCTAAAATTCGAAATATCTCGAATTCAAAAATTCTAAGTTTCTAAAAATCCTAAATCAAATTTGGAAACGCTAAAAATCCTGAAATAAAGATTAAAATACTAAAAGTCTCGAAATGAATTAAAAAATCTTGAAATCCAACATTGAGTTCAAAAAACTTAGAAAGATTAAATTTGGAAATTCCAAAATGCCTGTAATTAATTTGAAAATTTAAACATTCTAATTTCTAAAATAATCCTAAAATTCAATCATTTATCCTAAAATTCTTGAATCCCAAAATACTTTTTAAAAAGTTTCTAAAAACCTTATATTTTGAACAACCTTTAAGTTTTTTTGCCTTCCAAAAAAAGTGACGAAATAACCAGCCAAAAAAAGGAATAAAAATCACCAATTACATAATCTTTTCTCTCATCCTGTCCTCATGATAAAAGGTACACAGATAGACCGGTTTTTCTCCGAAAAAAACTTGGAAATCTTGACAAATATTATTCAATCAGTCTATCGTTTCAATTTCTTGTTTTAATCACTTTGTTCTTTAATTTTTCTTATTAGGAATTTTTTCTTAACGAATTTTTTTTCTTAATAAGAAACTATCTTTCTTATTAGGGAATTATGTTTCTTAATAAGAAGTTTTATTCCTTATAAGAAATGAAACATTCATTTCGTACTAAGGAAAACTAAGGAGGGATTCAAAAGTTTCCAAAAATGATTCAAAAACAAGTTAGGTTCCTAATTGTAGGCTTGTGACACCATAATGGTCAAGAAAGGTCGTTAACCCAGAAACAAGTGATAATGAGGGTCGTAAAATCCTTGTGTACACAAGTAATGGGGACTATTAATGAGGACCATTATTTATAGTCCTCCTAATGGGCGGGTCCGAAAGAAACAAAGAACGGTCGCGAAGGTTCTGGTGCAGACTATAGTGTACACGTGACAGACGGGTCCTCTTTTATTACACTTTGTGCCAGGCGACAGAAGAAGAAGAAGAGGAAAGATCAGGTGATGATGCATCAGGGGGTCAAAGTAGAAAAATGAGACATCTGGAAGAGACAAAGAGATCTGGAATGTTCTCAGCAGATGGTCTGATTTATTGGTCGTTTGGTTTATGAACAAAGAGGGTATACTGTAATTATGTGACAACAACTGACGGGGTGGTTGACCACATGGCACATACTCCATATGTTGTTGGTGGCGGTTTTGGTTTTTGATGGAAGCGTTTCCAGATGCCTGGGATGATGTGCATGAGGTTGTTGATGGCGCCTTGAGAGCAGATCATTAGGAGGAAGGGGAGACCGTTGTCTGGAAATTTAGAATTTTAGAAATTAAAAATTGTAGAATTTCAGAACCTTAGAATTTCAAAAAACTGTTTCGGAGTTTCAGAATTTTAGAATTTCAGAATTTTAGAATTTCAGAATTTTAGAATTTCAGAATTCCAGAATTTTAGAATTTTAGAATTTCAGAATTTTAGAATTTCAGAATTTCAGAATTTCAGAATTTCAGAATTTCAGTATTTCAGAATTTCAGTATTTCAGTATTTCAGAATTTCAGAATTTCAGTATTTCAGAATTTCAGAATTTCAGAATTTCAGAATTTCAGAATTTCAGAATTTCAGAATTTCAGAATTTCAGAATTTCAGAATTTCAGAATTTCAGAATTTCAGAATTTCAGAATTTCAGAATTTCAGAATTTCAGAATTTCAGAATTTCAGAATTTCAGAATTTCAGAATTTCAGAATTTCAGAATTTCAGAATTTCAGAATTTCAGAATTTCAGAATTTCAGAATTTCAGAATTTCAGAATTTCAGAATTTCAGAATTTCAGAATTTCTAAATTTCAGAATTTCAGAATTTCAGAATTTCTGAATTTCAGAATTTCAGAATTTCAGAATTTCAGAATTTCAGAATTTCAGAATTTCAGAATTTCAGAATTTCAGAATTTCAGAATTTCAGAATTTCAGAATTTCAGAATTTCAGAATTTCTGAATTTCTGAATTTCTGAATTTCTAAATTTCTGAATTTCTGAATTTCTGAATTTCTGAATTTCTGAATTTCTGAATTTCAGAACTTCAGAATTTCAGAATTTCAGAATTTCAGAACTTTAGAATTTCAGAATTTCAGAATTTCAGAATTTCAGAACTTCAGAATTTCAGAATTTCAGAATTTCAGAACTTTAGAATTTCAGAATTTCAGAATTTCAGAATTTCAGAATTTCAGAATTTCAGAACTTTAGAATTTCAGAATTTCAGAATTTTAGAATTTCAGAATTTCAGAATTTCAGAATTTCAGAATTTTAGAATTTCAGAAATTCAGAATTTCAGAATTTCAGAAT